CAGGTTCACAGTTTGTTCAGAGCAGGAAATCAGGGGAGAGCTGCTGGCCCTGACAGAATACCTGGGAGAGTGCTCAAAGTCTGCGCTGACCAGCTGGCTCCTGTGTTCACCAGACTATTCAACCTCTCCCTGTTACACTGCCAATAGTCCCAGTCTCCAAGTCCACCATGCTCAGTGGCCTCAATGATTACAGACCCATTGCACTGACACCTAAGTTTGCAAAGTGTTTAGAGAAGCTGGTCCTATAGCTCATTAAGGACTGCCTCCCACCCAGCTTTGACTGGTGGGGGTTCTTGAGGGTTCTGAGATGGAACAGGCTGCAGACTAGTGTCCTTCTACCGAGCCACAATTGAGAGTGTGCTGGTGCACACTGAAGAGACTCCAGAGGGTCATCAGAACTGCAGAGAAGGTGATCGGCTGTCCACTCCCCTCCCTGGACTCCATCGCCACCTCTAGATGTCTCTCTAGAGGCACTAGACCACCACCAATTCAACATCCTGTCCTCTGGAAAGTGGTTCAGATCCATCAGGTGCAAAACATACAGACTAAAGAGAAGCTTTACAAGGTTCTTATTATGATGCCCATGTAAACACCCCCAACAGTGAATAATGTGACTTATACATTGTGTATATAGTGTTTTTATATTCTTCTTCTTTTTTTTTTTTATATTTTTTTCGTTACTTTTACACCTTTGTGGCCTTGCTACCTACTTTCTCTGTGCAAGCGACTGTACAATGACAATAAAAAAGTTCAATTACCTGTCGTCCACTTTCACAAAGATGACGTTGTCCAAACCAATCCCCAGAAATGCAGCGCCTTTCTTTACAGAGTAATGGCTCTGAAAAAACACAGGTATGTCTGTTTCAACAGTGTCGTGAAGTTAGAAATAAACCTGATGAAGCTTCCATTGCATCAACAAGACAAACAGGCGAACAGCCGCCCTCACCTCTGGAGATGTAAAGATGCTTAGCCGTGGGAGAGCCCACACCCCCTTGCTTTTGACCTCTGGGAAGCATTGATAGCGTGCGAGGTTCATGGCATACATGTTGGAGGTTGAGCCCCCCGGACAGAAAATCCCATCACCCTCTGTCCAACCAACCAGCTGACGTAGGGCCCTGAGGACCTCGTTCTCCATCAGCACAAAGACTGGGGCTACCTCATAGGTGAAGCTGCAGTTGTCACAGAAAACGTCCGATCGTGTTATTTGCTGGATTAGCTTCGTCTTCTTTTTATCTTTCAGTTTGTAAATCTCTGCAGCGCTGCTCTATGAGTCAGGAAACTTTCCTTGCTTACGAACCAATATATAAAAAAACCCACAACATTGTGAAATATGTCATCAGCATTGGTGCCAAGAAGCACCACTCAAACGGTGCACCTAAACATCCCTTTGAAACACTTTGACGTTATATTTTTGCACATGCTTTCTAATAAATTCGGTTTATTAAACTCTGAAACACTAAAAATATGCAAAATACCTAAAATAACCTCAATGTTGGAGGTTATTCTTTCTGCTTATTCCTATTTCTAGAGTATTTCTACAGATTACTACCAAAGCAGAAACTCTGATCTCCTTTGATCAGTGCCTAACACATTTCATTGTTCAATATTCTTCCATCCCCTCAATATTTCTCTTATTTGTTCCTTCTTACAGATTAGTGTTGAGAGCCTCGGTGAGGAATCTTCCAGCCAAGGAATGATAGTCCACCCCACCGTACTGTTGATTAAAAAAATGTGGGTGACCTGAAATTAACAAAAGAAAGAGTCCCTTCAAGATCGGACAAGTGCCTGTCTGTTTAGCTCATTTTTCTACTTACTTGTTTTGATGCTGTACTTGGCAACATCTCTTACTCTCTGGAGGAGCTTGTCCCGTGGCTCTCCTGTCTCTCTCACCCCCAAATCCAGGAGCAGAGCCAGCTCCTCGGGCTCTTTCCACTCACAAACCTGCACGAGGAAAGTGTGGTTTATGAAGTTTGTTAGCTACCGCAGACAGGGAAGCTATTTTGTGCTTCACAAGATACCTTCTGTTTGACATCTGTGCCATTGGAGAGCACTTCCTCCATAATAATTTTGAAGGCTTCACTTAAGAAGAACTGGCCTTCAGCATGGTCAATGAGAGGCTCGTTCAGGTCACAGAGACTAGCTTGTTCCATTATCTCTTATGTGCTGTTTAAAAAAACACGAATACTTTTAAATTCAAAAGGTGTGATAAGAAACAGACACATGCAAACTTCATACTACTAACCTGAGAATGAAGACGGGTTTGTGCTGCTCTGAAACCAGACTGCAGAAAATGGCTACAAAGCAAAGGTAAGGTGGCGAGAGAGGGAGGGAGGCAACCTTTGTCCCACACTTCTAGTTAATGTTATCTGAGTTGAGAAAAGACAATGGGGCACACACTTACACACAACTGATTTATGGGATCACAAAAGTTCATTTTTAGAAGGTCAATATGCTTTAGTGAGTCATAAGTCATGTATAGCACTTAAATGGATAAAACTTTTGTGGATTCATGAAATGATTCTCATCAGTTCACAACAAAGAGCATCAGATTAGCTTGTGGGTGAACATTTTTAAAGGCAGTCATTTTACTGTGATGAGTTATGGAGTGTTATCTGCTCTGATATGCATGAGAAGGTGAATGAATCTTAAAAGACACAAGTCAGCCTCTACAGAAACTCTATGAAACATCAATGCAGGAGCAATTCCCAGATTGCACAGACAGAAAACCTTCATAGTTTTGCAGAAAAGAACTCCTGGGATTGCTCTGTTCCCAGTTATGGCTTCTTTTCTTCTTCCAGCTGTGATTTTTATTTATTTACCTTTTTAATGAGCAGCAACAGCTAACGTTTAGGAGAAGTTTGCAGCTAGTCAAGGACGAATGTACGGTCATCAGCCACCTCAATAGATACACCCGGTCAACTGTTCGTCAATGCAAATGTCTAATCAGCCAATCAAAAGGCAGCAACATGACATGTTCGAGGTGAACTGTTAAAGTTCAAATTGAACAACAGGAGGACGAAAGATGAATTAAGTGACTTTGAGCATGACATGGATGTTGGTGCTAGATGGGCCGGTCAGAGTATTTCAGAAGCTGCTGCTGTCCTGGGAGTTTCCACCACGACCAGAGTTTACAGAGATTGGTGCAAAATGACAAAATATCTGGTTCTATGGGTAAAACAGCACTGAGAAAAATGTAACTGATGATGGGGTGACAACATTACCCCATCATTCTTTTACGGCTGAGGGGTAAAAAAGCAAAAAAAAAAAAAAAAAAAGGATTTATATAGTCTCTTATCTTTCTGGGACATTCAGTGATGCTTTCGTCTGTGGCTGAACTTGCTGATCTGGTTACTCTGGTGATTAAATTCAAATACCAAAAAACCCCAAAACATTTACAAACCAGTTTATCAGCCTTCAACTCGATTTCACACCATTTTCTGTCCAGTCATCTGTGCCCCATTTGCAGTGGCTCAATTCTTAAACACTGGATAAAAGAGTAAAAATAACATATTGTTTATTTTATGGCAGTTGAACGAATAATACAACAATTACAAAGAGTTATTTCAAGTGGTACTAAGGTTCTCCTGCTTCTGTCTTTTGCAGATGTTTTCCACGAAAGAGTTTTGAAAATGTTCTTTTCTCTGCTGCTTCATGTGGACGGCTGAGCTTCATCCCTAAGATCAATAATCCCAACACAAAAAGAAAATACCGTTCAAATGAAGTAAGTACAGCTTTCTTTTCATTATCTTCTCAAATGAAAGGTGAATAAAAATCATACCACAGATACCACAACAGAAAACCGACATAAAAGCAACTCTTGTAAGAGATTTCATGAGGCAAAACTTCTATGACTTTCCTACAATAATTGTTAATGCATCATTTAAAAATGTACAGTATAAAACACAGTAGTGCTAAATGCAGAGTAGTAAACAATACAATCTTGTTCTTGTTTAAGCCCTGATATTTATGAAAAACATTTCCTTTATACTCCAAGCAAGTAATCAGTCAGTCTTCAACAGGAAGTCGATGCTTTCAGGTGGCAACATCCACTCTCCCTGACTGAGAAGTGAATGCAGTTGAGTGGGTGTGGCTTTTTCCCTCTGCGAGTTACGCCAGTGACACAGCATGGCAAAGACTCGCTCCACATGGAGATTATGGTCCTCTTCGATTTGCTCCAGTTTCACAGATGAGATTTCCAGAGCTTCTCTGCCAATCGCCCTCCAAGATTTGCCAATGGTACGGGCCACAGACATCAGCTGTTTCTCACTCACCATGCCAGAGCCTGTGGGATGAGGCCGTTAAAGTATGTTTTACAGAGTTCGACAGTGGAATATATTTCAGTGCCACTCACCATTGTTGCAGATCTTTTTGTTTGGAATGACATCTGGTATCTCAGGTGCTTGTTTTCTTTTTTCTGAGGTTTCTTTTCCTCCTTGGAAGTGACAAAAATCTATTTATAGATCAGAAATAGAAATCTAACTGGAATAAAAGATGGCTGAAAATGAGCAAATTTTAACCTACCCGAGGACCGTGTGTTGACTTTCAGTTTGTTAATAAAGTCAAGGCTTGGGAAGGTTTCTTGCAAGGCGTTATCCTTGAAAAGCTCCAGTAGCTCTTTTGCTGCTTCGGGACCTCTCTGTATGACGTGATCCAAAAGCTCTGTCACTTTTTCACTGGGAACGCGGCAAGATTTCACGTGCTGGTAGGCGTGAAGAGGCAGCAGACGGCGAGCATCTGCATGCTGGAGTACAAAGTCGGGATCGGCACTCAGGATTTCTATAAGCTTTGGCTTCTGACTTCTGAGTAGCTGGATTTCCTCTCCTGATTCCTCAGCCATGACTGATTTAAATCAACTCCTGGCAAAACAAGTTGATGAAGAACTCTTTTAATAAAAGTATAAATGACATGTCCAACGAACTCAACCAAAAAGCTTTTGACTAAATTAAACTTTCAAAAAATTAAACAGCTCCAATATCCATCCATTCTCCAACATTTCTAGTGGTAATAATTGTAGCTGCGACGCTGTTCTGCTAAATGTGCTGCAGACAGCAGGGAGTGTATTGGAACCAGAGTCAGGGTCCCTCTGCTGGTCAAATAGGCAATGACAGCATGTCTGCATTACCACAAGCATTCATTGCCTTCTCATTATTTTAAAAACAAAAAGAGTTTTCAAGTTGCTGCATGACCGATAACATGTGCATCAATGCTTATATATCTGTTCTAAGCCAATACTAGCCAATTACAGTGCTCACTTGATATATATCTATCAGGCTCTAATGTAACACCTAATTGTCCTGCACACGCCTGCATAATCACTGCTAAACACATTCCTGGCTGCCTTTTAATTTACGTGGCTATGGAAAAATGTGATATTCTCACATTTATTTTAATGAGTCATTCAAGTCTCTCCAATAATCCAGTGGATGAAGAATGTACAATGGGAAATATTCAAGACTGTTTAACATATCTAATGAATACATGTTTCAATTTTGTGGCTACTTTTTTTAGTATATAAAACTGTAACATTTAACATGTAATATGTAACATAATATGTTACAACGTGTTGAAAACCACAATCTCTGATGACAACCTCTGACAAAATAAACTCACCGGCCACTTCACTGGGTATACTTGTGTGACTGATCCTTAATTAACTCAAATATTTAATTAGCCAAAGATATGGTAGAAACTCAATGTATTTAGGTTTGTAGATACAGTCAAATTCAACCTCAGAATAGGGAAGAAAGTTTGGGATTTTCCCACAAATCCATGTTACATTCCTCTAAAAGTCGAGGGGATACAGGGAAGTAACAAAAAGTATCTAGCCTGGGGCAAAAAAGAGACAAGGAGGCAAACATATAGATGAAATAAAGTTTTTTAAAAAAAATTAATAACTATACTAAAGAAGACAGACAAGTCACTATAAGCATCAAAAGATTTGATGCATAATTGCACATCAAAAAGGTTAAATGGTTAAAAATGCCCTCTGCTCCACAGAGCAGGCATCAGCAGTTAAGCCATACGCAACTCAGCTAACTACAAAGGCTCTCCAGGACTGGAGTTCACCTGATCCCTGATCTTAAGTACTCAAAGCCTAATTGTTGAATAGAAAGGACAGCAGAGAAAGGGCAGCATCTACGGCTGGAAAGGGAGCAAGTCACGCCCAGCCATGGCCCTAACAAGCCATCTTTAGAATTTACAGAGAAAGTATCAAGTGAGTGGCAGTTCTCAGAGATTAAAATAGCTGTGAGGAAGGCAACAGTAGCTCAAATAACCACTCATTACAAACACCATTTGCATCGGGTCATTGAAATGAGATAATAGAAGACTATTCTTCTATCTATACTAAGATCTGATGATCAGGCAATGATCTGTCTCAATTTCTGCTGCGACATTTGGATGGTAGGTTGAGAATTTGGCAAAAAGACAATAAATTATGAATTTAGGCACCTTGTAGTGGTGTAATGGTGTGCGGGATACTTTTGCGGTACACTTTGGGCCCCAACTGAGCACCATTTAAACAGGAGAGCCTACCTATACAACTCAAGTCATCTCAAACTGGTTAGTTGATTATGTCAATGAGTTCACGGTACTCAAGCGGCTGCCACAGTCACCAGATCTCAATCAAATAGATCACCTTTGGCACGTGGTAGAATAGGAGAGATGCATCATGGATACGCGGCAACTGTGTGACGCCATCACGTCATTATGGACCAAAATCTCTGAGGAATGTTTCAGCACCTTGTTGAATCAATGATACGAGGGGATCCCACCCACTGCTAATGAAGTGACTGGTGAGTGGATTTCACACTGTGATACACGGGAGTTGAATAGTGCTCATGTTATCTGTAGCTTCGGACATGAAGAAAATTAAGTGGCATTGATATTGTTTTTTCAGTTCAAGCATAGTAACTGTAACATTGTTCAAATAAGCGTTAATACTGATGTACACTGATCAGAAATCACAGCATGTGCACAATCACTTTATCAACTGTAAGCACCACGTGCTTACAGAGTTTATTACTTTCAGTGCACGAAGGACGCAAAGCCTTTGTTCCACATCCAGCACTTCAATCCTAAACCCCTTTAATCTCTGCACTTCCTGGGTTTGTGTGGCATCTGTTGTCGATCACTTCCAGATGCGCTTTACAGACTCGCTTTCATGCCCCAAGCAGGCTACAGGCGGAACGTATCTGTGCGTTTCTCTTACCATTTAATGCAACAGCCCCAATAACAAAAATAGTAAACAAACGGCAGCTTTCAGCCGACAAACAGGAGACGGGTCACAAGTTCACCATCGCTTCTTTTCTCCCGCTGCTTTTCCTTCCTTATTTTATCCGGTATGTGCAGTCAAATCATTTCCGGTTATTCCTTTCACTAGCATTTTATTTCTGTTTGCTTCCATCCAGCGGGTGGATGATTCAACTACAGGAAACCTCCCCAGCTCTGAGCATTTAGCGCCATCTGGTGGAGATGCTTACACATTGCACTGCAGTGACAGAAGTGTTCTATAAACTTAAATTATACTTAATTAAAAAAAAGTATATAAGACTTTATTATGAAACAGAGACATTTCAATAAATACAAAAAGAAGGGACTAAAATAATTATATGGGAGGCATAAAAAATACCTCGGGTTATTAAGGAGAATAAGGCTAAATCTGCACAAAAAACTCTGCAGCTTTAAAAGCTCTAGATTTTCTATGATATAAAGAATAATGGCTATAAAAACATGCAATGTGTGCAATATACACAGCCACTGCATATGCACAATGCAAATATCCAAAGTGGATATAAATAATGCAGCTAATGATAATTTCTTTAGTACAAAAATGAAAAGCAGCAGGGGAGGACAAAATATGTATGTTTAGTTTATTTAGTTTCTTTAAAATTAGCTCAAATTCTGTGGCCAGAAAAACAAAATCCACTCACTGCTGCTCTAATTCATCAACGCAGCTAAACTGTAAACTAAATAGCTTCTCCACCTGGGCGCCTCCTCAGAGCAAGAATCTCGAACTCTCACGTCGACACGGAGAAATGTGTTGCTGGTAATATTGTGAAAATGGAGCGCTGTAAACATGGGAATAAATATTTGATTGTTTTTGGTTGAGCAGAGTCGGCTTGTTGCGTGCATACCAAATAGGACGTGTGCCTGTGTGTGTTTATTGGATGTGCGCACTTGCCAGGTATCATGAATGATGATCTACATTACAGTACATCCAAGTTTAATGTATCAAAAGGCACCTGACTGTTATAGGACAACAATTATCAGGAATCACCAGTCACACATCTGCTCAGCCTGTTTACAAAGCCCCAGCTCTGGGAAATGACAAATCAATATCTTATTCCTGGACAGATATTTGCTTTGTGTGAGTGGAAAAGCCTCTCGAGCCCATCTCATCCATACACAGTATACACTCTGAGTCACTGTGTGTATTGGTTGTCTGAATAAAACCAGCTTTTGCTTCGCCTACAGTGGGTGGAAGAGTAGAGCAAATCACTTATTCCTTATTTATTCTTACCACTCAGGTGCGGCTTCTGTATTAGAGAGAAATTCATCTACCTTTATGTACTACTAATGACTTTATTATGTTATAAATTTGAATTATATTCAATCTTGAGCTTCAGCGTAGCAAAGCTAAAAGGCAGCGATCTGCTGATCTAAGAGAATACATACACCGACACTCAGGGAGCTTTCAACTTGAAATGCTGCACAATGTGCCTGCAAAGTGTGCAGTTATTCATTTTGCATCACATTACTGCAGCACAAGTGGAGCATACTCTGTATGAAAATGACAATGAACTTAGTTTGCCGCTGATCAAGCACGATCCCACTCACACCCTGGTTCTTTTCAGGCCCCATCGCGCTCTCTGTCAAGTGGCAAACTCCACTTGTATGTGCATGCTAGTGGTGGATGGTATAATAGCTCCAACTCTCCACATTGCTGATGGAGAATAATGCAGTTTCTGTATGAGTGGCTCTGGCTCTATTCTACAGACCTCTGCACCTGGAAAATTGGGATTTTTGTAGATGAGTGTGTGTATGCGCGCATGTGTGTTTATTTATGCATGTATACAATTGAAGAGGGAGCCAGCGCAGCAGCTTATCCTCTCCGTGCCTTAACAGAGAAATTTAAATTTACATGTAAAGTAAGTGACGAGGGAAATCAATCTTACTGACAGACTTTAGCGCTCCGAGCCACGAGGGACAAAACGGAGTTGGGTCTGCGTTTGTGTGGATCAAACACTGCTTTGTACACTTGCTGACAGTACACAAGCTTTATGTTTAGACACTAAGATGCACACAAAGCTCCTTCACAGATAAAGTTGTTGATAAAAGAAATGGCACTCTTTGGTTATAACTCAGATATGAGCCTGCAATTTTAAGGATTC